TCATGGAAAAGAAGCTGTTCAGACTCAGCCTGGTCACTAAAATTATATAATATATTTTAACCACCATGCATGATTACATCTATATATACACTTTATGTGTGCAGTGTATGTGAAAATAAGTAAACCATATGGTGGGTTCGTAATGATGTGACTCAAGTTTAAGAAGAAGTTATGTAACGTCCCTGTGTTCGAGTTGTAATCTGCTTTGTTTGAATAATAAATGGTTAGTGGTCTTTGGTTTAGTGTAACAGTGTGATTTCATTAATCTTACTCTTGGGTCGAAGAAAAAATAGATTAAAAGAAGCAGGCCAAGGAACCTCTTTCTTCTTTTAATTTAAAAGTAAAGACTACCAGAAAAACTTAGAGACTATACCTAAATTTTTCATACACAGCACTTGCAAAGTCGACTAAATATATTAAAGTACCAAGAAGAATCTCTTATAAGATTTGATGCGCCAAAAGCTTAAAGAGAGATAAACTGTTTTTTTTTTCCAATTTTGAAGTCTCTCTGTTCTCTTACTATTAAGATCTTTAAATACAAAAGAAACAAAAGGAATTTGAAGAAATAGAAACGTGGGATCAATCCCCTACAACTTAATTAGATTATCATGATGAAACGTGATAATGCTTTTCTTTGGCCAAATTCTTTGTTCACTTAACGTATTTGGATCGAACTGATCGAACCGCATCGTTTTGTTTCACAATCTGGCAATATATGATTCCCTCATTCACCATAGGTGCTTGCCAACCCCAACTACGATTCATCATTTTATATTGGTGGAAACCAAATAGGTATTTTTCTATATGCCGAAGAACAAAGGGCTTGGAACGGATAGGTATTAAGCTGAATTTTTCTCATGATGTTAAAATTTGTGGATGCAGAAATCGCTAATGCGATCTATGAATTCTTCATTTCCCTAAAGTCCTTCAAGCAGTCCATTTTCACCGTTCTTGTAGATGCACCAAAGATTTCAAATACTTTGCGGATCTTAGATTTCTAGCTAATATTGCGTTGAAACATAGTTTAAATAGTGATTCATAGCTTATGACACATCACCTACAACAACTATTCGTATTTAGTCATTCGCTTTATCTGTCTTTTTGCATTATTTAGAATTTTTTCCTCTTGTTGGATATGGATTTAGAGTTTTTGTGCATAATAGGTGACTTAGAGAGTCTTTGTGTGTATGTATTTTGGGCTCATTTTATATATTTATTAGATGTCGGATCATTTTGGCTTAAGAAGAAATATGGAGTTCGAAGGAGATTGAAGAATGGAAGACAACCAGATATGGCATTGGAAACCAGAGAAGACAAAAGAATTCTAAGTGAAGTGGATTAGACCGAATTAACAGAGAAGGAACCAAAAATGAACCAAGTAGACAGCCACCGACTTGAGTTGTAGGTTAGGTTCATAGAATATAAATCAACCTAATCTATCAACATATCGACATAACCACAATCCTAAGAGTTATATTCTACGTAACCATGCATTTGTGGATGTGTACTTAGAGGTTACAAATTATACACATAAAAAAACCACAAACCTTGCTTCGATCAATAATGATATCTAATTTTTAAACCAAACATATACACGTACATAATGTTATGTTTAATGTATTTTAGGGATCCACAAACTTGTTCTCACTTTTGCTTTTGGGATGCAAACACTATTGACAACTGGCTAGCAAAAACTGTTACAGATCTACGTAAAAACATAAAGGAAATACTTAACTTTTTATTTTATGGAAAATTTTATTCGGAAAAGCTTCCACTTTGAGAATTTTCATGAAGTCCATGCACGCCCGATATAATGGCTTCTCCCCAAACAATCCAAGGCAGAGACATGTATAGCATCTAATGTGACCAGAGCCGGCCTTGAGAATATTAAAACCGCAAGCCCTGACAAAAATTTGGGCCAATTTATCAGTGATGTCTTTATAAAAAAATTAACAAAAAGTGCCTTTGAGAAGATTCAAACTCGTTCCCTATAATATACATGCAGAGGCGGCTCAATAATGCTTAATAAATTTAGAGGCTTTGTGCAAATCTCAAAAAGAATTGGCCCTTTATTCATAATTTTTAAAAATTTTGGTCATATATTCATAATTTTATTCATTTTTTTCTTTTTTAAATTGGCCTTTTAGTTAAAAAATTTTAGCTTAAAATACTTTTCAAAAATATTGGGTCCTCGCATTTGTTCTTCTTGCACATGTCAAGAGCCCCCTTTGTAGAGATGTTAATATGGGCTTCGACCCGCGGGCTAGGCCCAAGTAAGACCGCAACGGGGAGGGCTTGGACACACATTTAGAACTCACAACCCGTGACGGACCAACCCATATGGGTTGAAAAATTTTTTTAACGGGTTGGCCCATTTGAACGCGGACTGACCCATTTGACCTGTCTAAATTTTTAGTTTTGACTAAATGACCCTAAATTTAGTGTTTTTATGTGTTCTTTTTGTTAATGATTTGAGTTTTTGTTACAAAATTTAATAAAAGATTTTTCTATAATCATGAATACATATTTGATTTCAATCTAGTTTATTTAAAAATGAATGAAGCAAGTTAGTCAAACAAAAAAATCTATTAATACATCATTTCTATCGACCAATATTTTTACGATTATATTATAAATACAAAACATATAACTTATATCACTAACCAAATTTAAACAACAAATTCTTTTTCATTTATCAATCGCAAACAAAACAAAACAAAAAATATCATCAAGTGATATTAATTATACAACGTATATAATAGATGTGAATGTGAGTCAAACCATAAAAGTGAAACATAAAAGTTTACGTACATACTAAGCCAAAAACATATATACAATACAAATTGATATTGTACTATGAAAAATCATTGAAAATCATGCTTGGTTTGTTCGAATTGTTTGTTGACTTCTTGGATATTAGTTTAAAATTTTATTTTGAATTTCAAGCAGAGATTGAAGTGTTTGAGTTTTAATTTTGAGTTAAAAACTATGACTCAATTTGGATGTTTTGATGTGATATTGATGTTTCTAGTTTGATTTGGATTGAAAAAAGACCTTAGATGAGAGTTTTCTTTTGATTCACATAAGCTTTGTATACAAGATATTTGAAATAGTTAAAACCCATTTCTTTAGTCTTGGTTAATGTATTCGCGTTTGACATGTGTACACAACAAAGTCTTAGACGAGAGTTTGCTTCTAATACACATTAGTTTTGTTTCATTCATGTCTTGTGTTTCAATGTTACACTTTTTTTGTACGTTGTAGCAAGACTATCATAACCCGCGAGCTGGCCCATTAGCCCATTTGCCCAAGTAATACGGGCATGGACATATATTTCGAACCCGCAACCCGCGACGCGCCAGCCCGTATGGGTTGAAATTTTTTTTTGTCTGTTACGGGTTGGGCTACTTGGACGCGGGTTGGTCCGTCTGACATCTATACCCCTTGTATACATGTATGCAGTACTCTATCAATAGACTACATAACACTTTTCTATAAAAAATCACGACCTGTTATAATAAGTCAAAGATAACGGTTGCGCACACAGAATCCGTTCGCAGTTTTATTACAAGTGGACTCCATTGTCACTATGCATGCACAATAACTTATTTTTCATCGCCTATATAAAGAGGTTATTCAATCGATTGTAAAACAACATTCACAAACATAATAATAGAAAACATATCTCTCTCGATTTCTCTCCTTTTTATTATTCAGTACACTATTCTCACCGGGTATAAAATTTTCGTCTTTATTTATATTTATCGAAATGATAAATTTTACTACTCCTTTTATAACACGTTATCAACATGATCACTCTAAAATTTCAACTTTCATATGCATACTTATTGTACCCTATGGTGTACGGACTATTGTCTCCATGATAATTTATTTATTTTTGTGGTTGCTTTATGTACCATAATTTATTTACTGCTTTATTTATGGTCGGTTGAACCGCCTAGTA